ACTCTGAGAAGGTGGAAGAGTTCAAGAAAGTCTATTCAATTCATAGTTACTAATTTCCTTTACCCGCTCGACATTCATACTTCATATTGTTATGAAGATATTATAAATAATGTTTTTGATATCATTCATTTTCGTTATTATAATTTTCAAAATTGGTATTTAGTTCTGTGAAAATGATTTTCTCGTGGATTGATATAATTTCTTTTTCGAGTTGTCTCGGTTTTTTTTTTCTTACTGAATTGTCAGTTCCAATTACGGTAGTTTTTTACGTGATCCATTTGTTATTCAAAGAGCCTGAAAACAACGATAACAAACCTGAGTAAGATACCAACTAAATAATAAGTGATTTTTTTGCTGGTATCTTTTTGGCAACACTGTTTTTGACAGATCACGCGTGAATCGTGTGTTGTGTCATTGTCAAACTTATTCAGTTTGGTATATAATTTAACATAAATCGACTTACGAATGAACAACGCTTGCAAATTATTGAATTTTATTATCAAATTCATGCTCGGTGAAGAAAGTGCATCTTGCACTTCTTCCAATTTACGAGCAATTTCGTCGGCCTACTGAGGGAGCTATTCGGAAGCTTGTGATTAAATTTCGAACCTAGTATTCATTATTGGAAATTAAACCACCAACACGCATACGTAGAGTGAGGACCGAAAAAAATATTGCGGATGTATCCGCCAGTGTTCGTGATGATCATGAAATGTCGATTCGCCGCCGTTCGCAGCAATTGGGCCTCTTACTTCCTCTACGTGGAAAATTTTGCGAAAGGATTTGGGTGTAAAATCTTATAAGATACAGCTGGTGCAGGAATTGAAGTCACACGAACTCCCACCATTTCATTTGGTGAATGGGCGCTGGTAAAGTCGGAGAAAGATTCACATTTTTATAAAAAAATTGTTTTCAGCGACGAGGCTCACTTCTGGTTGAATGAATACGTTAACAAGCAAAATTGCCGCATCTGGAGTGAAGACCAGCCACAAGCATTGCAAGAGCTATCGATGCATCCCGAAAAAGTCACTGTTTGGTGTGGATCATAAGTCGGTGGCATCATCGGGCCGTACTTCTTCAAAGACGACAAAGGCCGGAACATTACTGTGAATGGCGAGCGCTACCGTGTGATGATTGACGACTTTTTGTTGCCCAAAATGGAAGAATTGGACATGCCTGACATGTGGTTTCACCAAGACGGTGCCACATGCCACACGACATGCAAAACAATGGCCCAATTAAGAGCCGCCTTTGGTGAACACTTTATCTAACGTTTGGGGCCCGTCAATTGGCCGTCTAGATTGTGTGATTCAACTCGGACGGAAAGACATTATTCTACTACGAGCCCTAGGCAAGTCCAGGAAGTCTGCGAGTCAAAAAAAAAGTTTTCGGACTTGTTGCTCACACTATTTTTTCGGAAACCATGTAGAATAACAAATCAATAAGACAAATTTCTTCATTGAATTTTTTGTAGTAATAAATATTGAAATTCAAACAGAGAATAGGTACTAACAGAAACATTTCAATTCTTATTTATATTAATATTTATATGAATATTCGAGCAATTGCTAATATTGAAGGGCTTCAATTTGTTGAAATGCTTGGTATATTCGAATGCCTTTTGTTGGAGTCAGAATAAGAAGCTAGTCCGGCCGTACTGCAGTTGAGGCAACCACAACATTGTGGCCAAGTGGACTGCACGTCGCGGTTGACCCAACCACGTTTTTGTGGTCGACTTGCGGTCATATAAACCGCACTTACAGTTAAGGCAACTGACATCAAACATTGAATGCTGTGAGACCAATATGAAACTGCAAGTTTGTGGTTAGTGTACGGCGGATGCCGCGATGACATCTCGGCGGAGATCAACAGCAAGTTGACTGCAGACGTCCGTTTTGACTTTTGTGAACGCCCGTGTACGTGTAGTACAGTATTTCTTATGGGCGGCTTGAATTCGCTGGAATGCGGCTCCAATTGTGTGGTCGATCCGACCGCAAAATGTGGCTCGTGTACGGGCGCTCTAAGTTTCCGTTTCACATTGATTGTTTTCATCTGATAATTTTTGACAATTTCCATTATGTTCGCGGGTGAATTGTCTTTCAGTGACATGTGTAGACTTGCAGTCACCGTGTATTTTCATATATTTTATGTTTCCACCATTACTAGCAAATAACTTCGCTGAACTTCGACGCACAACTTAGGATTGGGTAAATTTAAAAATTCTGCGATTCTTAATCCGAGATTCCCAAAAGAGACTGAATCGAGCATTTTATGTCATTGTAATTAACGATTAATCTGTTTTATTGCCTATACAACAGCAAGTTTTCTTGCCCAATTACAAAAGGAGGTTTCTCCGTATATGATATGGGATCTGATAATTACACGAGTAAAATTGACCTAACCCAATTATTGTTACTACCTGGAAATATGGCAAATTGAATTGATACTTAAAATAACCTTTAGCATAAGATATGTTTCATTATTTGCTTCCCTAATCAATTTGTTGTTTTGCGCGCTGTTGAAGACTTTTGATATCTTTATTCTATAACCAACAATCTTCCTATCAAGAAATGCGGTAACCAGGGCCGTCGCCATGGGGGGAGCCTCCTCCCCGCTTTTTCGACTTGGGAAAAACTTGGGAAAAAGTTGAGAAATTTCGGGCCGTGAAGATATAAAAAATAATAATAGAAAAATAATAGAAAAAAATAATATTGAAAAAATGAAAAAAAAGAGGTGATTTTGAGGTAATAAGAAAAGGGAAAGAACCAGGAGAAGGTTGGGATTTCCCAACATGCATAACTTGGACATTCCATACTTTGAAAACTTCAAAAAAATTCAATTTCTCCCAAGTAAGAGAACATTCCTGAACAGTCCACAAATTTTGAAGTGACAATTTTACAAAATTCCCAACTTTTCTCTGTTTTTTCGACTTGGAAAAGTTGGGAAATTTCGGGTCGTGAAGATAGAAAAAATAATAGTAGAAAACAATAAGCACAATATTATTTATGTGTTGTTTCCTTTCATTTGTATTGAATATTCCTATACATGGTGGATATGGTGGTGGTCCAAAGTAGAATAATTTCCATTATTATGTTTATAATTACCAAATTTTTTTTTTTACATACCCTAACGGGCATAAGCATTCAGCTAATCTTTGGATAGCTAAGTAAAAAAATTAATATATTATAGTAGTAACTAATCCCTAGACTTTCATTTTTTCGAGGGTTGGGAAATTTTGCTGGTGGGGTTGGAAAAATTTGGTCTATTTTCCAACGGCCCTGGCGGTAACCGTTGGAAAATAGACTATGTTTATGTGTTCCTTTACTGAAACGGTACTATTCAACATAGAATATCTGCATGTTCCACAAGGTAGAAGATTTGGAACCATCAGAGTTTGTTACCAAACAAGCTAAAATCGCATCCTCTGTAATAGTTCTAGATTTCTTCATATCCATCCATTTCGAGAAATTATAAACGTTTTCTTACCTGACGAACTTTGATTTTTCAGGTAATAATTGTGCTGTAGCAGCAGCTGCTACATTGTTAATTTCGTAAGGTAAGCTCCTGTTTTCAATGGTTCATTGCGAACAAAAATCATGCAAACTATCAAAAATCAAAATGTCAACCGATTTCATGTCAGTCAGTCGTTTTTTCGCTGCTATGGTAATGACCCAGTGCATCTATCAAGACCATACCTACCAAAATTTTCATATTTACGAAGATATGATTATTTCCGAATGGTTGCCGAAAAAATATCTCATTAAGATCCGGCATCACATAAGTAGGATACACAAGTATATTTTTAATAGAGGTATTATAGAACTTTGAAATGGAATAAAACAAAGATGAATTTTAAAATTGACATAAAATTCTCTTAATTCCAAAGATAATATTTGAAATAATTTAAACATATGACCGCCACGGTTGGCTCGTCTGAAGGTCCAATTTTCGATAACTGTTTCCAACATTTGTGGCCGTATATAGGCAAAAACATGATGAATGTTCTCCTTCAAGTGGTCAATGTTTCGGGTCTGAAACGTGAAACTATGCGGTTACCGAACGTTTCCTTCAATAAATCAATTGTGACACGAGCTGTGTGATATGTTGCACCGTCTTGTTGGAACCATCATGGTTGTTTATTTGATGAACGAAAAAGCAGTGATCATGGCTCTATAGCGGTCACCATTAACTATAACGTTCTGACCAGCATCGTTTTTAAAGAAGTCCGGACCAATGATTCCACCAGCTCATAAAGCACACCACGCAGTCAGATTTCTGGGTGTAACGGTGTCTCAATATACACTTGAGGATTATCATAACCCCAAATACGGCAGTTTTGTTTATGACGTATCCATTCAAACAAAAGTGAGCTTCATCGCTAAACAAAATTCGCTTATGAAAATGGGATCAACGGCAATCTTGTTTCGGACCCATTCACCGAATCTAAGCCTTGCAAGTTGATCGTGTGTCTTCAATACTTGCACGAGTTGGATTTTGTAAGCATGCAAAACAATATCTTTCCGCAAAATCTTCCATGAAGTGGGTGGATACATATCCAATTCCTGTGCACGATGACGAATAGACTGATTCGGGTTTTCCTCTACATTACGCTCTACAGCAGCAATGCCTTCTTCTATACGCACTGTACGACGTCTCTGTGGATGCGATTTATCATTAACATTACTTAAAATTGTATACCTCTATAAAAATACCCGTCACAAAAGAACATATGTAATTATTTTGAACACTTAATGAAATGAATAAAAACACTTTTGTCTAATTTCCACTAGTTAATTTTATTTATACGACCGACACTGTCATCCTCACTGGTAGACATCGATGTTTGCCTTTGGGCTCTTCACTACTAATCTGTATAATATAATGAGAAAAAACTACAGTTCATTCATAAATTACGATTTTATTGTCACGGAATAAGTTTGTACTCATTCCGTGACATTGAAGTGAATATTGAATAATCCATCCAAACTTCTTTCAGCTTTCGTCAAGAAGTTCACATGTCACTGTGGAAAATCATACAAATATCAACGAGGCTTGACTGATCATGTCAAATATGCCTGTGGAATATTACCCGAGTTCAAATGCCAGTTTCAGAATTGTAATTTTATGTCTAAGCTACGAGGAAACCTGAAGAAACACATGGTATCGAAGCACTCTTCGAATATATTTTGATTTGTGAGTTTATTACAAACGACTCCCACACACTCTTCCATATTTTTTCAATACTTTCAAAATAGTTTTAGTTTAGTTCAGTTTTGAATAACTCGAGTATAATATAACTTGATGCATTCATTAAAAACAAATTTTTACTAAAACATTCAATCGAATGTTTTTTTCCTGAATAAATCCCTCTATTGAATGGATCAATGGATTATATGTTTAACCAGTATTCAGTAGAGAAATAGAGATGCATTTTTTCGTTGTATATTAACTCGTTGTATTAACAATATTCTTTTCCAAACTAAGTTAAAAAGTAATTGTATAAGGAAATGAAATAATTTGATTGTTCAACTCTTTCAAAAGATGCATTATTTTTTTGTACAAGTTTTAGGCCGTGTTATTCACTATTTTTGAATAACTCAAACTTCATCACTGATAATATTTAGTACTCACTATTATCGAATAGTTGAACAGACAGATATGTTTCTGAACGTAATCTCAAATGTAATTAAACCTGCAACGGAAACATGTATTGGACTCTTCAAAAACATACCTAGCACATAAAGTCTACAAATTATTAGCTAATATATTTTTATCAGAAATTTTTCAGCTAATGTAGGAATATCAAAAACTAGTCAGTTTGTATGTAACTCGTCGTCGTCTGAATTGGCCTTCAACAAAATGTACCGTAAGTATTTCAACCAAACTATAATCACATTATATGACAAACTCGGGACTATGTTCATTTTGTTTTTCAATTTTTGAGAACAATAATGTCTATAGATGTAACGTATACCTACTTTGAAGTCATTTTACCATTTCAGGAGAGACAGTTTTTTTAAAAGAAACACTTTTGACTTTCTAATTCTTCATCTTTATGAATATTTCTGTTTCGATCACCAAATGATCATCTTCAAGAGGAAGATTAACGAAAACTCAGTCTTTGTTCTTGAAGATGATCATTTGGTGATTGAAACACGTATCGCGAGGTGTTAAAAATAACAATTTGTTGTTAGGATAAAACTCCAGTAATATTCATTACACACCAAAGATTCCAGTGCATCACAATTTCATTGCTATGCGAAGAATGTGGAAAAAACTTCAGGGGGGGCTTTCTCTTCCAGTTCGCATCTGAAATTATAACTTTTATTCATTAAACACACAGAGGTCATTTTACTGTTGTTTAAATTTAAGTTGTTCTATGTTTGGTTGTCGTTCGGTTTCAGAAACAATTGTTTGGTGTGAATTTGCTCCAGTCGAATCATTTACCATTATTTTCAAAGTATTCTTCTGTTCTATCTATAACAAGAATTGGAGAGTAAGGTATATATTTGAACTTTCGTTTTTTTCTCTTCAATTACATTCCACTGAATTTGATAAAATATATCCTTCATTTTTCATTGTTTTCTGACTTCAATAACGTTGACTTTTTCAGCATACGGTCACAGGTGCCCCAACTGCAATAAAGCGTATAAAAGGAAACACCATCTGACAAGGCACATGAAGTTCGAATGCAGCTCTGAACGACATTTCAGATGCGAAATGTGCCCTAGAGCTTTCACTCAAAGTAATAATTTGAACCGTCATGTTCTCAAATTTCATTTTGAGGCACAGGAATGATAAATAACCTTGTATGCATTTGCGCCTCTTAACATATATGAATGTACCATTAAAAAAATCCTGAAGATGTGTATTAAATCATTGCTGTTGTGTTCATTGATAAAGGATGATAACATCTCCCCTAACGAAGACGGCATCTATGGGATTGACAGAGAAGTAAATCCTCGAATATCAAAGATAAACAAGGCTCCCCAAGGCGGTCAGTTGCAGAGTCAAGCTTCGACATCGACCAGATTTGTTCCCTGTCTTTCACTGCAAGGCAACTCTTTGAAAACCAGAGCACAAACCGAGCATTCAGGTCGATCTTATATATGACGTCTTCATATGTGAAGGCGTTTTTTTCGGACAGTTAAGTCCAGCTATGCATTCGTAGTTCAGCCTAGCACCACTGATAAGATCTATATCGGATTGAAACAGTGCTGTCTGGTTTTAAAACGTAAATGCGTTTTATTTAGGCTCTGGGCTTCCAGTAATAGCTGCAGTGGAATACAGAGGACGAATCTCGTCGGCGTTTATCTTTGATATTCGAACTTTGAGTTCACTGTCAATCCTATAGATGGCATCTCCGTAAATCAATATGTGATCATTATTATTCACTGAGGCTTGTTCTTCATGGATAGTTTAGTGCTTCAGCCTAATACAACTGATGAGATCTATGGCGGGTCAAAACAGATCTGTCTGGTGTTGGATCATGCATGCGTTGTGTGTGGGTATTCAATAAAGTTTATCGATATATTGAAAAGTTTTATATTTTTCCATTCAGGCACATTCATTGATGAGTTACAGTTCTCTCACCACGTAACACTTATTCTTCATAAGTCGCACGCTAAACTGTAATTATTATATAGTCATAGACATATTTTATATTCAGATAAATGAAATCTATGTAATACACTGGGTATTTCTCATGCCAACTATTTTGATTATGTCTATGGACCTTCTACAACTGCTAGAGATATATTCAGACTCCAAAAATTGCAAATCTAATTCCTCAGAATGATATTTGGTATCCAAAAATTTGAAAGAATATCACATATTCTATATGAAGCCATAAGAACCTAATCTCATTCATATCTCACCAAATAAGTTGAACACAGAACGGAAGTTCGCAACCTCATTTTCTTATTCAATCTATATATTTACGGCGTACAATGCACTTCCCAAATCTCAGATCAGCGTCATTAAATATCGTATAAATATCGAACATATTAATGAGATAGATATTATTAAGGCCAATATGAAATTGAAAAACAAACTAATTGTTGGACCGGACCACATACCGAGTTTTCTAGTAAAAGATTGTATCCACCCTTTATTAAGCCCTTTGCTTCACATCTTCAACCTTTCACTGAAAACATCTACGTTTCCGGAGATTTGAAAAACAGCACGAGTATGTCCTATCTTGAAGAAAGGGGACGCAACTGTTATAAAAAATTACAGGTCTAATTCTATATTAAGCAATTTCTGGAAACTTTTCGAAATAATTCTATACGGTTTTATTTATAACTCGATCAGAAACATTATATCGGACGATCAACATGGGTTCGTGGAACAAAAGTCATGTGTGACAAATCTTGCATACCTTTCAAAACATGTTTCATATGCTTTGGACCAAAAGCAACAAGTTGACGTAGTTTATACGGACATGCAAAAGGCGTTTGACCAAATTGATTTTTACACCCTCATTCAGCGACTATCATCGTTTGGCTTTTCTGGAAGTTTAATTGATCTTTTCACAAGCTATCTCTTTGACAGAAAGCAAAACGTAGAACATGATGGTTTTCAGTCCTCTTTGTACACACCTAGCTCAGGGGTACCACAAGGCTCGAACTTGGGGCCTCTTCTATTTCTGCTTTTCATTGATGACCTGGCGAAAATGATGAACTGCCCAAAACTTCTTTACGCTGATGATCTAAAACTATACAAAGTAATTGACAATAATGAAGACTACTTAATTTTACAAAATGAAATCGGTTTAGTATTCGACTGGTGTTCCAAGAACCATTTACGTTTGAACATATCGAAATGTTACATTTCATCATTTTCTAGAAAAAAGAATATAATAGAATTTTCTTATGTTATTGACAGCATTCCAGTTAGTCGAGTTAATGAGATGACAGATCTTGGAATCACTTTTGATTATAAATTCACTTCCACTTCCACATAGACCAGGCTATTTCATCAGCGAATCGAATGTTGGGCTTTATTATAAGGAGTACCAGAGAATTCAAGAATATTAATACGAAAAAATGTACTACAGTAATGTACACCTCGAAAAGGTCTACAAAAAAGTTCGCGAAAACCACATAAAGAAGACATCGGCCAGATTCACGGAAGACCTGCTTAACCACCCGTCAGGTTGTAAGGGTAGTGGTGGGCCTACTAGCCGACATATAAGCAACTGGGTCTGACAAAAGAAACCCAATGCAGGTTCTGCCAAGAAGAGGAGGAAACCGCATTGCATGTGCTCTATGAATGCGAAGCGATAGCAAGACTGAGACACGCAAGATGCGGAGAGGAAAAACCAGAGTCTGCCAGCTATATGAAGGGGTCAGTATCAAGGCTATGGAGTCTCATCAAAGAGATCAAGCTAGACAATGAGCTCTAACAACCAAGGAGCATCACAATAGATCTGAAAAGATCGCAGTGAATCAGCTCATGGTTTAGCTCCCCGATAATCTAATCTAATCTGATCTAATATGCATATCTCTCAGGGATAACCAACAATAACCATTTTTTATCCTCCTGACTTATTTACGCATCTGCTCAAGACGGGTATACTCGATCGTGGGTATAGTGCTCAAGACTCGTATTTCAAAATTAAATACGACCTGACTGCTCTAGCCGCATATTGCCGCGAAGGTATTTCGCACATGCCAATCGGAGCAAGAAATTAGCTGCGATAACAACGCTGCTGCACAGCTGATCAGCTGATTAGGTAAATAATAGTTCTGGCGATAGCAGTGCGTTTTTAAGACCTGTTTATACAAACAGAAGGCAGTGTATGTTGAGTCTTTTTATTGTTTTTTGAGGTGTATTCATGTAAAATTATTTAATCATGACAAAAAAATATTTGATTGAGACATTCTGGCTAGAAGCGATGACAGTGGCCAAGACTATGAGCCGCTTTCGTCAGATAATGAACTATCTGACAATAAAAATTTGCAAAATCAACATGAAAATGTAGCAGATACACAGAGTTTTATTTTGAATACGAGCCAACAAAACTTGAATGTGATGGAAATGTATAGTTAAAGCTCAAGAATGGAACAAGGAGAACTCCCTTTACAAGGCAGATTTGATGTTTACGAATCCAATTCCAGGCTGCAAAATTCAAGGTACTTCAGCACTTGAATTTTTCGAATATTTCTTATACCCCAGATATAATGAGGTTGACGGCAGAGGAGATCAATAGATACTACGATTTTCATGTCGCAAGGATATTCCAGAATTTTTCCTCATGGCGAGGTGGAAACCTGTCGAATTCAAAGAATTGTATTGTTTTTTGGCTACTGCTCTTCTAATGCCACATACAAATAAACAACAAATAAATAACTATTGGTCTACAGACCCTTTTATTAGTACACCAATATATCAAAGGCTAATGAAAAGAGACAGATTTTACTTATACTGAAATTGCTGCATTTCACAGATAATGACCATGTTCCGATGGAAAAGATTCATTGCTCAAACTTAGAACCATTGTTGATCATCTCAGAAACAGATTCGAAGAAGGATTTGTGCTTTTTCAGAACTTATGTATATACGAAAGTTTGATGCTTTTTCGGGGTCGAGAGTTTTTCCGACAATACATTCCTTCGAAACGTCATAGATTCGGTGTCAAGTTTTTTTTATTGTGTGACTGCAAGACTGGGTACGTATTGGATGTTTTAATCTACACAGGCGCCACAACTGAGGTTAGAGATTTTACTGACAGATATGACATTGGCAAATCGGGAAGTATTGCCCTAACTTTACTTGAGTCCTATGTAGAAAAGGGACATTTGTATGTTGATAATTAGTATACAAGCCCTAACCTTTTTGATACGTTACATAAAATGAAAATAAATGCTTGTGGAAATGTGAAAACGAGTCGGTAAAATATGCCTAAAATAACTACCAAACTGTCAAGTGGTTAGTTTACTTATCGGACGTGCAAAAATATTCTTACCGTGCGATACAAAGACAAATGCGAAGTGAATATGTTATTCTCTAGTCATACGCCAGATGTAAAGTGTATTGGAAAAACCGAGACACTGGTCATCAGATATTCAAGCCCACATGCATTGTAGATTACAACACCTATATGGGAGCTGTTGACAAAACAGGCATGCTTCTTTCTTTTTGCGTCCGCAAAAGCAAAAAATGGTACAAAAAAGTGTATTTTCATCTATTGGATATGGCGGTTCCAGACAGTTACCAAATGTACAGAACCACAAGTCCTAATAATATATCTATTGAGAAATTCCATTTAGATTTACTTAAAGAAACCATTGAAAAATACCACGTTCCTCTTACACGTACTGGTGGCGGGAGATCAAGAATGGAAAATGATGGTGATTTGCGTCTAACCGAGAGACATTTTCCGTCATTTGTTCCACCTACAGAAAAAAAAACAAAAACCAACAAAAAGATGTGTTGTTTCTACGGGAGATAGCAAAAGAGCAGAATCTCGCTGCATGTGTTCTGTGTGTGGGTTGCACTATGCGTAGTGCCACGATTTGAAACACACCAAAAAATATTTCAGTTCACTATAAATTATGTTTTGTTTTTATTTTTTTTTATTTATATAGTTATTATATGGAGTATATCTTGCTTTCAAAAAAATATTTTTTAAATAGAAGCTTCATTCCATAAAATATTGTTTTATTAAACTTTATTTTATTTTATCGGAAATCATTGCTTACAATCCGTAAAATATTAAGATTGTAAGCTTTTATTTTCGATTACAGTTCATTTAATTGAAACCTAAGTTATTTTTTTAACGTAAAACGTATACCCCGTTGCACTATACTGCTCAAGACGACCATTCTCGTTAACGCCAAAAAAACAGCATTTATCCCTATCCAATTAAGTACTTCAACTACATTGTGCATCTAATATAGATCAATATGGTTCTTTACAGCGTGTAATTTGAATGAATATTTTCGGAGATATGTAAGGCCATAGCTGTTGAGGCCATACCGGTTGGGGGGGCCGGTGGCGCGTGCCTATAAATTGCCCAAAGGGTAGGGGAGCAAGGCTCCATCCTGAAAGAGATCAAGATGACGAGCAGGCGCTTCGTCCTATAGCACTTTATGATTAGCAGCGATCGCACGCGTTCATATGTATATTTAGTATTAGAATTGCACCCGTGCGGTGTTTGCGGTCGCACTCTTCCAAAACAGCTCCACCGATTTTTATGAAATTTTTTGTGTATATTTGGTATGTATATGAATAGTGTGTAATGGAATTGGTCGACACTTGATGAAAATCCATAAAGTATTCAAGCAACACTTCATTGTGTGATTTTGACTGAACAGTTCACAAAACTGCAGCACCTGTTACGCTATACAATACCTTCCTCAGGCGTGTTCTCAAATCAAATCAATTTTATTTCTTTGCGACAATATAAAATTGTATAAGAACAGTAAGGTAGATGAGATACAATGAAATATATAGGTACGTATGTACAGTACAGAGTACAGAGTTACAGTACAGTTAAAATTGATATATAAAGAGTATATATAATATAGTATATACAAATATAGGTGAATATAAATTATCACACATAAGATGATGAATCAGGTACATGGTTGGTTAGTTGTTTGTATTGGAAGTATTCATTCATGGAGTATAAACATTTTTCAACTGAATAAAGTTTTAAATATTTTTTGAATGTATTCCAGACCTTCGAGGATATCAGGTAATTTATTAAAAAATTTTACTCCGATTCTACTTGGAGCATTAAATATGTAACATTAACCCTGGACAGTGGCAGTCGCAGATCATTGTTAAGACGGGTTTTATAAGGGTGGAAGTCCCCATTGCATAAAAAAGAATGCTTATTTTTGAAAACGAATACACAAATTTCAAACACATACAGACCCGTACAGGTGAGAATGTTGTAATTTTTGAAGAGATTACGACATGAGTAGTCACTTTTGACACCAGCTATACATCTTATGATTTTTTTTTGAGAAATAAAAACTTTCTGCGAGTAAGAAGAGTCTCCCCATAAACACGTTCCATACCTGAGCCGGCCTTCCACTTGTGCATAATATAAATTTATCAGTTGCTGTGGTAGCAATACGTGTTTAAGATTTCTAAACATACAGTAGATCGATGAGAGCTTAGAGCACAAAAACTGACAGTGTTCTTTCCAGTCCAAGCGGTAGTCAATGAAAATACCGAGAAATTTACAGTCTTCTTGGACGGATAACTGGGTGTTATTCAGGAATATATCTAAATTTTCATGGTCCTTTTTTGTTGGGTGGAACAGTATTAAATTTGTTTTTTCAGCGTTGAAATACAGATGAATTTCAATAAACCAAGCAACTAGTTGTTTCAAGGTAGATTCACAAGTTTCTTTTAAGGTATCGAGATTTTTGTGAGATATAAGTAAAGAGGTATCATCAGCATAAATTGTAAGTCCTACGTTTGAAAACGATTTCGTTATTTCATTAATGTATAAAATGAAGAGAACCGGGCCTAAGACAGAGCCCTGCGGGACACCCATATCAATTCGAACCTCAGAAGATTTGATGTCCTGAAGCGACTACTAAAATATTTCAAACTGACAAACTGTGAACGGTATTTAATGAAAGACTCAATATAACTGAGACAAACACCTCTAATACCATAATTGTATGAATTGCCGTAAGGAATCTCTCTTCGATCAATGCGGTCTAGTAGATCGTTGAAATAGTGATTAATGGCAGTTGTAGTTGATTTTTCTCTTCGAAAACCGTATTGGCTGCTAGTTAAAATGTTTAATTCATTTAAAAAGGCAATGAGTCTTTCTAAGTAAAAATATTCGAAAACTTTTGAGAAGCTGCTGGAAATTGTTATAGATCTATAATTTTCCAAGTTTTCTGAGCATTTTTTTTATATACAGGTATAACTTTCCCGATTTTGAGATTAGAAGGAAATTTGCCGGATTTGAAAGAGAGATTCACCAAAAATATTGAAGGCTCAATCACAATGCTAACAATTCTTCCCAGAATGAATATAGGAACTTTATCGGGCCCTGACGAAGATTTATTTTTGAGCTTGTTCCTCACTCGGTTCACTCACTCACTCGGCTTGTTCTCACTCGGACGGGTATGAAACCACCTAGCGAAACACGTGTTGCGGTTCTGCAAACTGTTCAATAAAAATCGCAAAAGGAAATGTTACTTGAATAGGTCATAAGAAATATTTCATACCAGAAAATACCATACCAGGAAATAATTTATATTGCAGAACAATATTTGCCAAGTCAGCTAGTTAGTTCATATGAAAATCTATATAAGCTCCAGGTTCCTTTGAAACTGTTAATAACCCACTTATTGACTTTTGATTTTTCTGTTATATATATTGGTTAATGAATTATCATTTTGATCGACCTTATCCAAAAGAACTATTTGTAAAACTATGATATGTTCTAGGATTGTTCCAGTGTGAATGTGGTAGAACATATACTAGGAAAGAGAATTTGACGAGGCATAAAAAGGACTGTGGTAGTTTGGAAAGAAAACATCACTGCAAACTTTGCGACTACAAAACCAACAGGAAAGATACAATGAAATGCCATATTATTTCTCGACATTCTGCTAAATTGAAAAATAAATGAATAAACATACATATTCTTATTCACACAGCGATGTGCTGAAGTTGATGGTCGAGTTGTTGTTCCCGTTATTACCAACGCAGAACTGCGTTGGGAACAACAACTTGAACATCAGCTCGAGCATTTCACCCATTACCCTCATCGTATTTGGTGTTGTCTCACGCATTACTAAAGGAAACGTCAGGCATGAAAATCTGTAAACCATGTTCAAAAAACCCAGATAATTGCTTTGACCCAATGGTCCACAATGTTTCTTGGTAAATGGTGGAGTTCCCAGTTCCATTGTTTGAAGAAAAGTTTACAAATTTGAAATCTATGGGAATAAAATGAAAAATTGATGAAATAATGGAAATATCAAAAATACTAGAAATTTCAGTGCCGAAATATTTCGATAAGTTCTTTGAAAAAGAAATAAATCGAATAATATAAAAGAAAGAACAATATGAAATTAAAAAATGTTTGAACACAATTCGTAAAAAAACAAATTATTGTGATCTGAAATAAATTAATAAAAGAATCTCATATTAGATGAAATATCAATAATATTCAAAGAAAGAAGAAATAAGGAAAACGATTTTATTACAGGCTACCACGTGATTTCTATTGTTAATCAACACGATACTAACGGTGGAAAGTCGTGAAGTAACTTAGTTTTAAAGAAAAATTCCCACTTACTCTTATTTTAATTTTTACATTTTTATAATTTCTCATCATTCATTTATTCATTATTCATTTCATTATTTTTTATTATTTGTATATTATTATCATTAGTCTTTTGAGAACACATTTCTCTCACCAGAATAAAAATGCTGTCTTAGTTATCTCCTGATGATGCTAGGTTGGTTAGCGAAACGCGCGTCGAAATATAGAATATATGTTCTGGTGAGAGAAAAGTGTTTCAAATAGCTTCATTTCACGTCAGAAAGTTCCAAATTCTACTTATAATTTCATCTATTGTTTGAACCACACATTTATTCACAAACTCGCGTTCTCATATGTATATTCACAATAATATCATTAATATTTTCTTTTCTATTTCATCAAATGTTGTCTGATCGAGGATTGGTACAAAGGGATCCATTTGTTGATCGGAAGACTTGCCAAATTGAACCCTATTATTTGATTGTTTTTTCTGGGATCATTAAGACAGGCACAGGCACCGCTTTTAGAGCGACTCAAAGATTTTCCTGTAGTGCTTGTGTTTTGTCATTAGAAAAACATCCAAAACTACTAAGGATAAAAGTTGCATCTCCTTATATTGATTTCAGTTTGAATATATGATTTTATTCATTGTCAATGTTATATTTTTAAAATTTACCGATTCTTCATCGTTTTTCAAATTTCTTGTATGAATACGTACTTTTAAATACCTTCATGATTCATCAACTGATTTTGAGTATACATTTTGTTGTATTCCATATGAAAAGATATTTCAATGGAGTTACCGTAAGTACATTTTTACCTTTTTCACTACGAACACTTTTCTGAAATATTTTTGTCAACGATTTCTTTCACTGCTTTTGGGAAGGAGTGTCACCCATCGAACAATTTCCTATTTCGTGATACCAGATGGAATATTTATAAAATATATTTCATAAATGAATGTCTCATCACCTTCCTAGGAATGTTTATAATGCCCAATACTAGGTTCCTAAGGCAATCAATTAGTTTTGCTAAGAACGAAACTATTATTGAACACTTATTACTACTATAGTTGTTTCGATAGGCCTTTTTTTCCAGCTTGTATTTAAAAGTAACTTCAATGCATGGTCTGCACATCTTTATGAATAGTTTATTTTGAAATTAATTGCTTTCATGAATATTCTACTCATTCGCTTTGTTACTTAATAAAATAAATATCTTGCAAACTTTCAGTAATATAGCTGCCAATATATATAACACAATTCGCCCCAAACAGCACTTCGAAAGCAAAAAACTCAAGTAAGGCATTTATAAAGCACAGGATTTATGGAAAAAATCACATAATTTTTCTAATCATTGTATTTCATTAGTTTGGACTTCCATTGTCTGATATAATATAAATTGATTTGAAATCCCTTAAAGAATATGTAAAAAAAAATAAAAGGATCAAACGAAAAAACAACAATTTTATTAAACAAAAAACTGAAATTGCAAAGAAATAACATACAAGAAACAACGAAAAACAATAAAAAAATTGAAATATTAATACAAGTAGTTTTTTATTTTTTTTTTGGTTGTTGCTTGCATGTTATTTCTTTGTGATTTCAGTTTTATGTTTAATAGAATTGTTATTTTTTCGGTTAATCTTTAAAATTTTTAATTATATATTTTTTCAAGGATTTCAATTCAAATCAATTTATATCATATTAGACAATGGAAGTCCGAACTGATGAAATACATCACGAAAAATTGTCGACCAACTTCGAACAAACCATAATTCTTCTAATTGTTTCATCACATTTTAATGGGAAGAATTTTGAAGACAAAAACGGTTTGAAATGAATTACAGTCAATTACTACAATGATCAATAGAATTTTTGTCCTAGTTACCATGAAAACAATGGTTTCAAGACAAAGTTGTATCATACTCAATATTTGAACTAATATGTCTTTCGATTTTCCAGATAAATTGTTCGGATGTGAAAAGTGTGGAAAGAAATACAAAAAAAAGTCTTCTTGTTACGCTCACACTCAACGTGACTGTGGAGTTGAACGTATTCACAAATGTACTTTGGAAAAGTGTCGAATGAATCAAAAAACTTACACTCCATATAATTACCAGAAACACCTTTACAAAATTCATCCACAGGAATACCAGAAAATGAAACAAGACAGAGTTTTATAAAGTTTTTTAAATAAAAGGGATTGGAACTTTTTCAGTATTTTAATTCCAAGTTAATCTTACTCTTCATTATTATACCGGTTCATTTACCTCAGTTATAGTAAAATGGTGCGACAGGAGAAAAGGTAATCGCTTTGCCGACTCTTTAGCCAAGGAAGCGGCTGGACTGAGAATTTTAGGACCCAGTGGCACATACGGCCTAATGACTTCGACAATTGCGGAACTAGCCATGCTCAATCCCTAAAGAGATGAGATGGAATCGAAAGATGTAATCTTGCCAGGATCACCTTGGGCGAACCTGGGAAGTTGGCGCCGAAGAAGTATCTGCCGATGACTAGGAAAATCTACGCTTAACCATAGGATTTCTGACTGGCCACTGTCAACTAAGGAAACACCTGTATAATATTGGGGTAGTAGATACACCTCTATGCAGGATGTGTGAACAGGAAATTGAAACTGTCAGGCATGTCCTATGCGAGTGTCCGGAGTTATCGCCAATAAGAGAGGGTGTGTTCGGCGAGTCTTGGCCTACACCTGCCGATATAAAGGAGTGTCTCTTAGTGACCTGTCCACCTTCTGGAGAGGACAGGATGGACGATTACCTAGGAGGACAACTCCTCGGGAAGATGTACGATGGGTCACATGTGGCCTAAGTGCTATGGGCTTACACTCACCCTCCTTACTCTACAGATACCGATACCTCAGTTATAGTTTCGAAAAACATTCAGAAGTTCGGTAACGTAAACGTAAAAGTAATGCTGACTTTTATACAAATACAAAGTGTCCATTTCACTGTAACGAAAATCCGTTGTTCACCATTCACTGATACTTTGAGTTAATACAGGGCGGCTGATGTTTGGTTGAGGATTGGACAAGATGAATTTAATGATCCATTGAAATTGGCAAATTCTCCTCATTATCGTTACACGACTTTTAACTTTCCAGATTTGTTATGTGGTGTGATAATTTTAAAACTCCAGTATTCAATTGGAATCCCAAAAATATTCGGTGATATACTATTTTTTTGTGAATTTCAGAGGCTAGTTGACTAATCACGTTGATATTGTTCAAACGCCCCCTTTCATCTTTTCCACACTGTCTCAGGTATAGTTAAGATACATGAATGAAATAAATTCAGGACTGCCTGTGATAGCTTTGAGAAAAAAAGTGCTACATTCAACCCTAAAGTTGAAGTTGGAATATTGTCACACTGTCTCAATAATTTCGTATTTTTGAACATCTAGTTATACAAATGTACGCGTCAAGCAAACTGATATTCGCTGAATAAGTCAACAGACCCATTAAAGACTGGCAGTCATCAAGTTCAAAATTAAATTGATTCAGTCTTTCGGATTCAAAAGAAACCTTTATTGATTGCACATTTGTGATTTTTGTAGAGAAAAATATTTTGGAAAGAAATCTTAATTTTCATTAGACAAACACGAATGGACTGCTTAAACTCAATAAACTCTGTGTTCCGTCTTTACCTCTCTTTTGAATTTGATTTAAAGTTATTATCATTTTTTTACCCAGGTGTTTTTCATTTTGTATTCATTTTCAATAGGCAAACCGCAGTATTATTGTGGTTGCCTCTATTTGTGACGGTCACTCCCCTTATATAATATTTCGTCGAAAACGGTCGTGAGTGTGAGAGAAGAGAACAGTTGAAGAAATTCTCAAAGTAAGCATACTTCCATTCAATTTAATAGTATATTACGTACCGAGTAGGAATATTGTAAGCACGAGGCGTTAGCCGAGTGCGATAACTCCCGAGCAGACGTAATTGGCCTTATCCTCGAGTTGCGTACTATACTTTTTCTACGACTGATAGTGGAAAGAAATGGTACAATATATTTGTTTGAGATTATGGCTCAGATTTCTGTTTCAGAGAGCACGTGATTTAGAATTTTTGCTGATGTCCATATTTTTCTTGATATTCAGAGTACTTCTCAGCATGGAGTAAATTGCCGATAACGTTTTCAGAAAACAGGGTTATGTTTTTCTTCTCTCTCCGACTCATGGAATTTTCGAAATTATATCCGTAATTTTCTCTTAATTTGGCTGACAACAAATTATTCATCGCAATATTTGTTACCCGGTAATATCTTGTGTGGTAGCCCAGATTTCTTGATCCCTCATTTTGAATTTTTATGAGATACTGAATGACAGCTCATAATCAAGTGGTTGT